GGATAGTCTCGATCTCTTGACCTCGTGATCCACCCACCTCGGCCTCCCAAAGTGCTGGGATTATAGGTGTGAGCTAGCGTGCCCGGCCCGGCAGCAATGGTTTCACATATATGTTTATAAATAATAAATGTGTTTTTCCTTCGGAAATGTTTAGTGGTGGTGGAATTTTTCTTTTGGAGAGGGGAAGACTTAGCATATAAACACAAATAAATACATAATTACAGAATCTGGAAAGTACCATGGAGGAAAATTATAGCCTACTGTGAGTGAGACTAACTGGAACCCATTGGACATGAGGCTATCAAGGAAGACTCCTCTGAGGAAGTGATACTTATATTAAGAAGGATATGTAGTAGTTAGCCAGGCAAAGAACAGGAACACAGTGCAAGACACGTAACTGCCCAGCTTCTTTTTTTTTTTTTTTGACAGAGTCTCGCTCTTATTGCCCAGGCTGGAATAAAATGGCACAATCTTGGCTCACCACAACCTCCACCTCCCCAGTAGCTGGGACTACAGGCATGTGTCACCACGCATGACTAATATTGTATTTTTAGTAGAGATGGGGTTTCTCTTTGTGGTCAGGCTGGTCTTGAACTCTCGACCTCAGGTGATCCGCCCACCTGGGCCTCCCAAAGTGCTGGGATTATAGCCTTAAGCCACCTCACCTGGCTACTGCCCAGCTTTTAAAGATATTTCTAGAAGCAGTTTTACCCTTCTCTGCTTTTATGTGAATGACATTGAATATGCTTCCAGCATGAGCCTTTTTGGCAGAAGGCCCAGCCAAGCCTTAACTGTGGCTTCTGCTCCATCTGGGGACTGTTGGGGCTCAATGAGTTACACAATCCTAGTTATTCTCAAAATTAAGTCCTGGCACAGCTCTGAAAACAAATTGGGACGATGGGAGGCAAGCCTGCTAGATTAGACATGCAGTGCACTGGATCATCCCTCCTACTTTCCAGTTCACCACGTGTGGTCAGTGTCCTAGGTTTTAGAATAAGGGCCAAAGCAACAACATGTGAGGATTTCACCTTACTGAAGACACACCTTTCTCAGAGTAGGAGACAGCTTTCAGCAATATCAGCAAAAACAAACCACAGAAAAAGACAGATATTTAACTACATAAAAAGTCAACCTGAGACTAGTGAACAATAGAGTCAGGATGGCTAAAGGTGACCCCAGGAAACCAAAAGGCAAGATGTCTGCTTATGCCTTCTTTGTGCAGATGTGCAGAGAAGAACATAAGAAGAAATGCCCAGAGGTCCCTGTCAGTTTTGCAGAATTTTCCAAGAAATGCTCTGAGAGGTAGAAGACAATGTCCGGGAAAGAGAAATCTAAATTTGATGACATGGCAAAGGCGGATAAAGTGCATTATGATCGGGAAATGGAGAATTATGGACCAGCTAAGGGAGGCAAGAAGAAGGATCCTAATGATCCCAAAAGGCCACCGTCTGGATTCTTCCTGTTTTGTGCAGATCAAGTCCACAAACCGTGGCATCTCTATTGGAGATGTGGCAAAAAAGCTGGGTGAGAGGAGGAATCAGCTAAATGACAGTGGCAAAGCTGAAGGAGAAGTACGAGAAGGATGTTGCTGACTGTAAGTCGAGAAAGGAGGGTTTGATGATGGCGCAAAGGGTCCTGCTAATTTGCCCAGAAAAAGATGGAAGAGGAAGATGAAGACGAGGAGGAAGAGGAGGAGGAGGATGAACAAAGAAACTGTTTATCTGTTAAAAAGAAAGTCAACTTTATTTTAATTAAAAATATTTTTTAAATGTTATGTTAATTTTATTAAAAATGGTCTCAAAACATGGCCCAGGCTGGTCTTGAACTCTTGGGCTGAAGCAGTCCTCCCGCCTCAGCCTCCCAAAGTGCTGGCATTACAGGAATGAGCCACCATGCCCAACCCTTAACCTTTTTTTTTAGTTAAAAAAAAGTTAAAGATGAAAAAGCTATATGTCAGCTATATTCTTATATAGAAAGAGCTTCTAAAAATTAATGACACTAATACACATATAGCAGCAAAAAAACAGAAAAAGAATATAAAAGAAATGCATAAAAGAAATAATAGACACAGCCAATAAGCATATGAAACAAATTCAACCTCAGAAATATTGAAAGAATTATGGATTTTAAAATGCTATGCTTTTTGTCCCCCACCAAAGTGGCCATTTATAAGAGTAAGGAAATAACTCAGTCCTGGTCCAAGTTCTGGAATTCACTCTCCCACACTGCTGATGGGACTGTAAATTGGCACAGCCATCCTGGGAGCAGCCTGGCAGCATATGTCAAATACCTTAAAAACATACCCCCTTGTATTAGTCTAATGGGGATTTAAAAAAAAAAAAAAACATGCACCTCACTTGACTATGCAGTTCTGCTTCTTGGAATTTATCCAGAAGGAGTCAGATAAGTATGACAAGATGTATACTTGTATGTGCATGACAATTAATTTTTTTTTAATCAAAAGAACCTAGGTGTCCATAAGTAGGGAATGGTCAGAGAAATCACTGTGTATTTGTTCCAAGGAGCCTGTGTAGCTCTCTGTTGTGATGCAGGGATGTCAATGGGTTTTTGTTTTGTTTTTTAGTCTGTTGAGATGCATTTCACATACTGTAAAATTCCCGTGGCTGGGCGTGGTGGCTCTCACACCTGAAATCCCAGCAATTTGAGAGGCTGAGGAGGGTGGATCACAAGGTCAGGAGTTTAAGACCAGCCTGACCAACATGGTGAAATCCCGTCTCTACTAAAAATACAAAAATTAGCTGGGCGTGGTGGCGCACACCTGTAATCCCAGCTAGTCAGGAAGCTGAGGCAGAAGAATAGCTTGAATCCAGGAGGAGGAGATTGCAGTAAGCCGAGATCGTGCCACTGCGCTCCAGCCTGGGTGACTCATCTCAAAAAAAAAATTTTTTTTTTTACTCTGAATGTTTTTTGTTTGATTGTTTGTTTTGAGATGTAGTTTTGCTGTGTCCCCAGGCTGGAATGCAGTGGTGCCATCTCAGCTCACTGCAGCCTCCGGCTCCCTGATTCAAGCAATTCTCTTGCCTCAGCCTCCCGAGACAGGCGCCCACCACCTTTTTTAATTTTTTTGAGACAGTCTTGCTCTGTCACCTAGGATGGAGTACAGTGGCGTGATCTCAGCTTGCTGCAACCTCTACCTTCTGGGTTCAAGCGATTCTCTTGCCTCAGCCACAAAGCAGCTGGAATTGCAGGTGTATACCATCACAACCAGCTAATTTTTGTATTTTTAATAGAGATAGGGTTTCACCATGTTGTTTAGGCTGGTCTCGAACTCCTGACTTCAGATGATACACCAACCTTGGCCTCCCAAAGTGCTGAGATTACAAGCATGGAGCCACTGCGCCTGGCCTCCCTTCATGTATTTTAGGTGGGAGAAAAGGAAACTTATAAAATAGCATCACAGTGTGGTCCAGATATTTGTATTAATAAAAACCTTATGTAAGCATACACACAGGAAAAACATCCTTGAATGTTAACAGCAGTTGTATCTGGGAGGTGAGATCATGGGTACCTTATTTTCTTATTTTTGTATATGTGTATTTTTCGAACATTCCTGCAGAGAATGTCAATTACTTTTATATGAAGGAAAAGACAGAAACAGGCTGGGGTTCTGTGTTTTTTAGTTCATTATGGAGGGGTAAAGGCTCTACTCCTAAGGTGGGTGTCAGGCCTGTGTCGCTGGGCCACCTCTCACCATTCCCTGCCTCATGTTGGATGCTCCAGCAATACAAACTACCTGGAGTTGGTTGCTTGCGTGCCATTTCTTACCTGGGCATGTTTGTGCACTGAGGCCCTTCCACCATGAACGTCCTTGCCCTTGGCCTGGCCCACTCCTGTATCCTTAGGGAAGTTTTCCTGGAGCCCCTCGCACACACTGGGCATTCCTGTGACCCCTGACCTTCCCCACGTGGAACTTGTCTGTACACATTTGTTTCCTTGTCTCCCCTGGACCCGCTTTCCCAAAGTGCTGGAAGAAGCAACTCCTTTTTTGTGTTTTTATCTTTTTTTATCTTTTTTTTTTTTTTAAATCTGTGTCTTGAGGTGTCTTTTAGCCTCTGGTTCCAAATGTCCACCTTTTATTTATTTATTTTTCTAAAGACGGGGTTTTACCATGTTGGTCAGGCTGGTCTTGAACTCCCGACCTCAGGTGATCCGCCCACCGCAGCCTCCCAGAGTGCTGGGATTACAGGCGTGAGCCACCATGCCTGGTGCCTTTCATTTTTATGTAGGAGGATTTCAGGATCATCAGGCAAATCAGAGTGCTCAGCGATCTCCAGTAGAGTTCTTTAGTTTACTGTTAAAACACAGTGAATTTTCTTTTTCTGAAAAGTAATTCAGGAAAAATTTGCATTTATGAGGGAAGAGACAGTAAACCCCACCATTGACAACTTTGGGGGGGTTCTTTCATCTGAGAGGAGCAGAGAGTCAAGGAAAGATGGGGAGAGGGGTTCTCAGGGCAGTAGTCATCAAACTCCATGGGCATAAGAAGCCCCCAGGCCTCATTTATAACAAACATCCCATTCCTGGGGCCCACTGTCCAGATAGGGGCCAGGAATGGGCAGTTCGGTTCATCAGGCCATAGGTATTTGGAGGGCAGGTCTCACTTTGGGAAGTTGCTTAGAGCTGGGGTTCAGCTGGATGGGGTTGGCTCTCCTTTCGGCCTCTGTGGTGGTCTCTTGGGGCTCTGTTTGGCTTTAGCATCTGCACAAAGCCCAGTTTTCTCCTCTCTGAATTTAACTGGCCACTTCGTGGTGGTGTGTTGGCTCTCTGCCTCCATATCCTGTATATGCTGCCTTAAAGGCTGTCCGCCTTTAGCATCTAATTAATCCCAAGTAAAGGAGTTGTGGTTCTTTGTCACTTGGAGCCTTGGAGGCTCCTCTGGGAGCAGGAAGTGGCAGCTGCAACGGAACAGCGGCATCAGCAGCTGTGTGACGCATCCCAAGTCAAAGACTTGCAGTCTGGGTTAGCATAAGGAAACTCACCGACTTACTCAGTGAGAAGGGGTCTTTTCTGTCTTGTCTAGAGCTGAGAATGAAGCGGAGAGCATCAGACAGAGGAGCTGGGGAAACGTCGGCCAGGGCCAAGGCTCTAGGAAGTGGGATTTCTGGAAATAATGCAAAGAGAGCTGGACCATTCATCCTTGGTAAGCCTCTGACTTTTGGGAAAAATGGGTGTGCTGCGAGGCAGGCGCAGGGCACATTGGCTCGCACGATCTGACCCTTACAGACATCAGAGTGAGGTGGCCCACCCACTGCAGTGTGTGGTCCTGCCCTGCCCCCGGCCTGGTCCCTAGCTTCACTGCTTGAAGCAGAGTATAATTGTATCAGTGGAAGACCCAAGCCTTAGGTCACTCTGCACCAGGGGCTGTCAGTGTTGTAGCCGCACCAGCCTTAGATCAGTCTTAGCCAATAGCTAGGCTCTGTCTCTTCCCCCCAGAGAATCCTATGTGTGCACCTACAGTGTTGCTGTGTCCACAGGAAGCACATCCATTAGAACCCATTAGCTGCATTAGAATCCAAGATCTGGCCAGGTGTGGCAGCTCACTTATGTAATCCCAGCACTTTGGGAGGCTGAGGTGAGAGGATCACTTATGGCTAGGAGTTCAAGACTTGGCAAGCTTGGGCAACATAGTGAGATTCTGTCTCTACAAGAAAAATATAAAAATTAACTGGATATGGTGACACATGCCTGTAGTCATAGCTACTTGGGAGGCTGAGGCAGGAGGATTACTTGGGCCCAGGAGTTTGAGGTTACAGTGAGCCATGATCACGCCACTGCATTCCAGCCTCGGCAACAGAGCAAGACTCTGTCTCTAAAAAATAAAATAAAATAAAAATTTAAAACCCAAGAACCATCATCCAAGACACTGCTTTATGCTATTCCTGATGGCATAATTTCACAAAGCGGTTTGTATAGCCTCCCAGATGTCTTTAAATCCTGGCACAGGTGTGGCAGTTAGCCAGAGGAGCAGCAGAGCATTTCTGCCTGATGTGTAAGGACCAGCAATCCAAATTGCTTATAGTCAGGGTTGCAGCCAGAGACTGGGTGTGAGTTGTACTTTGGGACAGAATTTTGGACTTACAGGCACAGGATAGTTCCAGCTCATCATTCATTACATAATTAATGGTGCGTACCACGTGCCAGGCCTGTGCTGTTTGCCGGGGATGCAGCAGTAAATAAGGCAGACAAGTTCCTGCCCTCACAGAGCTTAACATTCTAGTTGGAAAAAGAAACAGAGTAAACATCTCATCACCAGCAGTGCAGGAGCCTTGAAGGAGGTTCCACAATGACATGAGATGAGAAGGCCTGTAGGTAGGGCAGACAAGAAAGGCCTCTCTATGAGGAAGCGCCATGTGAGCTGACACCTGAGGAGGAGCAGCAGCAGCTTTAGAAAAAGCTGGGGAAGAGCATTGCAGACAGAAGCAGCAGCACGTGCAGAGGCCTAGCAGCAGGAAAGGGCTTAGCATGTTGGGAATTAGGAGCCCACTGGAGTCTGGCAGGGGACAGGGCATGGAACATCCTCAGTTAGAAAGGTGGGCAGGAAGTGAATCATGCAAGGCCTTGGAGGCCAGAGAAAGGAGTTTGGGTGCTATGTTAGGAGCAGTGGGTCTGTGAACATTGCACTGGTAAGAAGGAAAAAAAGAGCAGCAAAGCTTCATTAAGAGTTTTTTGGCCAGGCACGGTGGCTCATGCCTGTAATCCCAGCACTTTGGGAGGCTGAGGCAGGCAGATCACCTGAGGTTGGGAGTTCAAGACCAGCCTAGCCAACATGGAGAAACTCCATCTCTACTAAAAATACAAAATTAGCTGGGCATGGTGGTGCATACCTGTAATCCCAGCTACTCAGGAGGCTGAGGTGGGAAAGTCTCTTGAACCCGGGAGGTGGAGGTTATGGTGAGCTCAGGTCACGCCATTGCACTACAGCCTGGGCAACAAGAGCAAAACTCCATCTCAAAAAAAAAAGTGTTTTTCACACAACAGTGGCACTATGACATCATATTTCCACTCTGAAAGCTCGTGCAAGGTGCTGTCACAGAACAACGAGCACTGTGCATCTCCAGAAGTACATAAGGTCCCCAAAGCTGGCACTTGAACAGAGGCCAGATGGCTGTATCAGCATCACCAGGGAACCTGTTGCTATAGCTATAGTTTCCTGGATCCTCACCCTAAAGTTGCTCTTCACAGGACCCAGGATCTCTTGGGTTTTGTTTGTTTTTTGAGACAGGGTTTTGCTCTGTTGCCCTGGCTGGAGTGCAGTGGCACAAACACAGTTCACTGCAGCCTCAACCTTCTGGGCTCAAGTGATCCTCCCACCTTAGCCTCCCAAGTAGCTGGGACTAACAGGTATGCTCCATTATGCCCAGCCAATTTTTTATTTTTTGTAGAAAAGAAGTCTCACTGTGTTGCCTAGGCTGGTCTCAAACTCCTGGGCTGAAGCAATCCTCCACCTCAGCCTCCCAAAGAGTTGGGATTACAGGTGTGAGCCACCATGCCCGGCTATATCTCTTGTTTATAGTAGATGCTTCCTAGAGATTCCAGTGTCCACCCAGTGTTGAAAACTTCTCTTTGAGAAATGTGCCTGCAAAAGCTGGATGTGTTCCAGGCAGAGCACACATACCTCTCTCTATTTTTGGAGGGGAGACCTTGAAAACTCTCAGCTGACCTTGGGAGGTCAGTCCAGTGCACATGAGCTATGGTGTCCTCCTCAATAGAAGGTTTAGTGGAAGACCACGTGGTGACCTGGCGCCATGACAGCCAGGGCTTCTGAAAAATAGACCAGCAGCTCTCTGTGCCATAGGTCCTCGTCTGGGCAACTCACCGGTGCCAAGCATTGTGCAGTGTTTGGCAAGGAAAGATGGCACGGATGACTTCTATCAGTTGAAGGTAAGTGAGATGTGGGGGTGAGGGTGCCTCAGGACCAGGGCCTGTCATGCCAACCCCCTCCCCCTTCACCTTCACACCTGCGTCACTTGTGAACAAGAGTAGTGCCATTTCTTCCTGAGAAGCAATCAAGTTCACATGGTCTCCCGTGGAACAGCTCCTGATTTAAGGAGTTTTGTCTGTGCATAAATTACCTTGCTGTCATATTAAGAAAAATGATTTCACTTAGTGTGTTTGTGGGTGTGTTATGTGCAAATGTCATGTGGTAGAAAGCCCCCTGCTTCCCCCATTCTGGCATTCTCCTGTGTAAAGTGAAGTATTCCGGTTTTGGTTTTATTTTTGTGCCTTCCTGAAGATCCTGACCCTGGAGGAGAGGGGGGACCAAGGCATAGAGAGCCAGGAGGAGCGGCAAGGCAAGATGCTGCTGCACACTGAGTACTCGCTGCTCTCTCTCCTGCACACGCAGGATGGTGTGGTGCACCACCATGGCCTCTTCCAGGTGAGCGGCCTGCCCTTCCCCCACCCTTCGCGCCCCCCTCTGGCTGGCTTCGGGGGCTACCACTTGCTGGGGCCACAGCCACATGAGCAGCTCATGTGACTCTCGGGTGTCCTTGCCATGCTGGGTATGTCAGGACTTTCAGGGCAGGTGGTGTGGGCTGGGCTGGAAGTCAGGCTGGGCCACAATAGCTGTGCTCTTGTGGAGATGGTTACAGCCTAGCAGCAATGCGCACAGTTTGTATCTTACAACAGCCAGGCTTTCTTTGAAGAGCCACTTTTCCAAGAAAAGAGGAAAGCAGGAAGTCACTTAAAGACACCTGGGCCCCCTTTTTTCCTTTTTGAAACAGAGTCTCACTCTGTCACCCAGGCTGGAGTGCAATGGCGCAATCTTGGCTCACTGCAACCTGTTCCTCCCAGGTTCAAGCAATTCTCCTGCCTCAACCTCTCGAATTACAGGCATGTGCCACTGCGCGCAGCTGATTTTTGTATTTTTAGTAGAGATTGGGTTTCCCCATGTTTCCCAGAATGATCTTGAACTCCTGACCTCAGACGATCCACCTGCCTCTGCCTCCCAAAATGCTGGCATTACAGGCATGAGCCACCATGCCTGGACCTGAGCCGTTTTTGGCTGTGTCGTTAGGAGTTGGCCAAGCTGAGGTGGGAGGAAAGGTAACAAGAAGGAACCGGCATTTGGGGCCATCTGTAGATCTCCACAGTTGTTTTGGGATCACCCATTTTTCCGCCTGCTGAGGCATTTCAGTTTATCTAGCAAATATCCCTGTGCTCCTGTGCTCAGGGGTTCCAGGTCCCTTGGGAAGGAGATTGATTAACAGCGTGTACATGACAAGAACCATTCTTGGGGCAACATTGTAAGTTGTGTCTCTGGAAATGAAGACCTGGGTTCACAATGACCAGGAGGCCTCCTGGACAGGCCTGGGAACAGCCCCATTCTTCAGCTGGGCGTCCACCAAGCCCTCAGCCACCCAGACAGATCTACTATATGAGAGTCAGCACAGTGCCAGAGAGAGCAGTCAGGTTTTGATGCTGACAGTTCCTGGATTCAGGTGGTGTGATCTTGGGCAAGTCACTTCAGGTCTCCAGGCCTCAGATTCCCTGTCTATAAAATGGGGATAGCGGTAACAGTACCTCCCTCCAGTGGTGGTTGGGAAGATGAGTGAACGTGTGTAAAGCACCGAGCTGCAGCTGGAACGCTGTCATCGTCATTGCTGTTTAGGCAATAAAAACTCCCTGTCAGCTTGAGTTCCTGAAATAAAACAAATGGAAAGCGTTTCCCACCCCTAAGTATATACCCCACCAAGGTCTTTTTTCTTAGAGTAGCAATTAGAGGAGACTCAGTATCATTAGGCAACTACAAAAATTAGAGTATTCCCTAAAACATGAAATCAAATTGAGGGTGATTGTGGTGTCTCGGTATTTTGTCTCTGATATCTTCAAAAGCTTGGCCTTGGTTCATGTCATTTTGGGTGATCAAAACTGATTCTAGTGTCCCGTTTGTGGCCAGACACTGTGCTAGGGCCTCTGGGAAAGGCAAATATGAGATGTGGTCCTGCTATTAAGAAGAAATGTGAGGCCGGGTGCAGTGGCTCATGCTTGCAATACCAGAACTTTGGGTGGCCAAGGTGGGTGGATCACTTGAGGTCAGGAGTTCAAGACAGGCCTGGCCAACATGGTGAAACCTCATCTCTACAGAAATGCAAAAGAATTAGCCAGACAGGGTGGCACACACCTGTAATCCTAGCTACTCGGGAGGCTAAAGCAGGAGAATCACTTGAACCCAGGAGGCAGAGGTTGCAGTTAGCCGAGATTGTGCCATTGCACTCCAGCCTGGACGACAGAGCAAGACTTCATTTCAAAAAAAAAAAAGTCCTCCAGGAGTTCCCCAGAGGGGACAGTCAGTCTGCCTGGCATGCCACCAAGGGCTTCTTCACACTGGTCAGATGAAGTCCCCAGGTTGTATGTGCTTTTTGTCTTACTCGAAATACCTTTCAGCAAGGAAAATGGGTCTAGAGCTTGCTACCATTGTGGTCTATCTGGCAGCCACAGCGTTGATGGCAATACCCACTCACTGCACCCTGGCAGTCCAGGACCCAAGCTCAGGATGTGGACTGTCTTATTTACTTCTCTCGACCTGTGAGGGAGGGCTTACTAGCTCCCTTTTACCGATGAGGAACTAGAGACCTGAAGAGGTTAAGCAAACTGCCCCAGGTCCCACAGCTAAGATGAGGTGGGGCTGGGGCTTGAACCCAGCAGTCTGAGGTCAGAGTCACTCTTAGCCACCATTATGTGACTGTTGGGAGTACTGCAACCATGAGAAAAACAGGAGTCCTCGACACAGAACTCTGTGTAGCCTCTGGAGCCTGCCAAGATTGACCCCTTTCTAACTCCCACCATCTTAGACACTGAAAGGAGGTTCTGCTGGTGATTATTGGAATCTGGGTGCCATGGAAAGAGGATGCCCCATTTTTGCTGCTTGAGCACTGGGCTGAGAGGGCCCTTAGTCTTTAAATGCCCAGACCTGATCTGAATCCTTTGTATTATGTTCAAAGCATTAAGCCTTCACCTGAGATGTTTTAGCTTCAGCCACTTGCTGGTCCCGGCATTTGGCACACAAGAGGCTGCACAGTGCTGAATGGCCCCGTGGTCCAGGCTGCCCAGGCCTCAGTCCTCTACTGCCTGCACATGCAGGCTTATTCCAGGCTCCCTCACTGGTTTGAGAGTCTAAGCCGAGAGGAGAGTCCCAAACGTTGGCCTTGACCCTGCCGGGTTCACAGCCAAGCCCTGTGCTACCCTCTTGCCTCCCAGGACCGCACCTGTGAAATCGTTGAAGACACGGAATCCAGCCGAATGGTTAAGAAGATGAAGAAGCGCATCTGCCTTGTCCTGGACTGCCTCTGTGCTCACGACTTCAGCGACAAGACCGCTGACCTTATCAACCTACAGCACTATGTCATCAAGGAGAAGAGGCTCAGCGAGCGGGAGACTGTGGTCATTTTCTACGACGTGGTCCGTGTGGTGGAGGCACTGCACCAGGTAAGGCCATGCTCTGCTGCCATGCCTTCTGGCCACAGAAAGCCACCTTTCTTGCTGCTTCTGAGCAGAAGGCAGCTCTGTCCTGTCCACCCAGGTGTGCCTTACAGCTGGGGTGTCCAGAAGAAGAGTGGCTGAATGGCAGGTGCACAGGGTGAGGCACAATGCCACCCTGGAGGCCACCTTCCTGATGAGGGCTTACCCACAGCCCAGCAGAACCCGTGTGTAATTCCCCATCAGTTAAGAGGCCTGGTGTCCCCAATGTAGTGACGATAGTGAGATACCCACCCAAGCAACTACAGCGTGTCTGAGTTTTTTGTAGGATTAGAGGTGTCAGGCACTCCAAGACAAAGGGTAGGAGAGCCTGAGCCTCTTTCCCAGTGCACTGCTTCCGTGGGCCTATCCTGTGGTACTTAGTCACAAAGCCATGACAGCTCCTCTCTGACCCCTAGATCCATCCTGTCCGTGGGATGTCTGATGGAGGGAAAGAAGCAAGTGGCTTTCCCCACCAGCTGCAGCCCCGAGGGGAGAAAGAGCTGGAGAAGCTGCCGCAGAAGGCGAGACATTGACTAGGTGCACATTCATTCCCCATCCAGACACATGGGTGATGAGGACTTGGAACTGTCCTGATCTGCCTGTGGTTGGAGCCTAGAGAAACACACCTCATAGAATTTTTCCTGCCTTCTTGAATACCTGGAGAGCCCCCTCTTACAGGGTGGGCCCTGACCCCACCTCTCACAGTGACAGTATAAACCATATGCCCGTTGTTTTGCAGAAAAACATCGTGCACAGAGACCTGAAGCTGGGGAACATGGTGCTCAACAAGAGGTAAGATTTCTGTTTCTTCATCCCTGCTGTTACCCTGGGGCTGGGGAGGCTACACACTGCAGCTAGCCAGTGCCCTGCGGGGTCCCCTTGGGGATTCCGACTCAACACACTTCCTCCAGGAATCCCAGAGTTCCAGGGATGGGATGAACGTGGGAATTTGGGGCTTGCTGAGACTGGGAGTTTTGAGCCACAGAAAAGGAGCTCTGGGAAGAACTCTAGATCTCCTCCCTGTTCCATTTATTTGTCATGCCTGGCTCTTAGTGTGCACTCAGTAAATGACTATAAAAACCAAATGGCCAGGTGCAGTGGCTCCCACCTGGAATCCCTGCATTTTGGGAGGCTGAGGCAGGAGGATCACTTGAGCCCAGGAGTTTGAGACAGCCTGGGCAACATAGTAAAGACCCCATCTACAAAAATAATTTTTTTTTTTAAAGAAGGGGTTTCACCATGTTGGTCAGGCTGGTCTTGAACTCCCAACCTCAGGTGATCCACCCACCTTGGCCTCCAAAGTGCTTGGATTACAGGTGTGAGCCACCACACCCAGCCAAAAATAGTATTGTTTTAATGGACAAAGCAGGTGAAGGAATGAGCAAAATGAGGTCTTGCTGTAGGTAATTTTCCTCAGGAAACTGAGGTTTACATGCAGGAGGTTTACTGTGGAGCGCTCTCAGGATGACGGGGTGGAATTAGGCAGAGGGAGAAGCTGAACCACAGTGAAGTCCCAGGAGGGCCTCAGCCTGAAAAGCTCAAGAGTGGGATGGCCCTGCAGATGTCCCACTCATGGCCTTTCTGCCCCAAAAGCAGTCACTGAATGTCTGCTCTCCATAGGGAGGGGCATTCCCTTGGGCAGGGCAGCTTCTTTTGGCTAAGAGGTCTCCCTGGAGAGGGATGCAGCTATGAGTGCTTACTTGTAAAATGCGGCCAGCTCTCTTAGCAGTGGGAGAGCACATGCCTTAGACTTGGAGGGGGTCGGGCGGCCCACCCCAACACTGTCGGTGAACGAGCAGAGGGAGACCAAGCACGGCCCTGGTTTCAGGCTGGTATTCTGCCTCGACAGAGGGTCCTGGGCCTCTTTGGAGTGATCTGGGATGGTGCTACCAAGTCTCACCATGTTGGAGTGCCCACCAACCCCATAGGAGCCCAGGACTAGCAGGAAATGGGCCCATGCTGTGGGCTACCATGATCCTTGAAATGCAGGGCTGAGAAGGGCACACCTCCCCCACCGCCACCCCTGCCCCGCGCCCACCCATTCTTCCTGAGCCCCCCCTCCCTCACCTCTTACCTCAGTGTTGAGTTGGTTGGAGGGCTCACAGAGGCAGCCTGGATCTCACAGCAGACGTGTTGTGGGTGGTTCATTCCATGACGTGGCCAGCCCAGGCCAGGAGGGGTCCAGGGCCCACTGTCCTTTAACGGGGCCAAAGCCACAGAGGCCAGAGGAAAAGAAACTGCCTGGAGGTTGGCCTCCAGGGAGGGGGCATTGCCTCGTGCCCCATCTCGACTGATGGGGAATTACTGCTGGGGGCTCCACACCCCACAGCTCCAGCCTGAGAGGCCGTCAGGAGGACGCTGTGCACCTCAGTGGCTAAGCCTTCCCATCCTTCTACTGGCACCGCCTGGTGCCTGGGCTGCACACAGAAACTCTCAGCAGCTGTCACTGCCCTCTGGAGCCCACATCTGATGGGACTGACCAGAAGATGGTACCATGTGTGGAAGAGCAGCGTGCAGAGGGCGAGGGGCATCTGAGGGGACAGTGACTGCCACCTGAGTGGATTTGTGAAGAATGAGTTGGGATTTGCCAGGCTGAGAAAGTGAAGTGATGAGAACCTTGCCCTGCCACACTCTGCAGAGGGTGGAGGGAGGGAGACAGGAAATTCCAGGGCTGCTTGAACCCTGGACTGGCTGAGTGAGTGAGTTAGGAGGACGGAAGTAGCACCGATGTGGGGGTCAGACCTGGCTCACTTCCCAGGGCCGCCTCTTAATTATCTTGGGGACTGTGATAGTGTATTCATTTGGTTACTTATTAATTGATTGAATTCATATATTGAGGTACCAAGCACTTTTCTGAGCTTCCATTTCCTCATCCGTGAAAGTGAAGGTAATCTTGCCTTCCTGGGAAGATTGACCTAAGATGCAAATAAGTGGGTGAGAGGCTACCTAATATGGGGTTTGGTGTATCACAAGCACACCCCAGTGCTCATCTAGCCAGGACTGGAGGGCCTGTGGCTGAAAGACAGGAGAACGAGACCCGTGGGCTCATGCTTCTGGAGATGAGGCCTGCTGCATGTTGAGCGGCCAAAGAGGACACCCTTGCAGAGGGTCCAGCGGTCCCCCAGCCATTGCACTGCCCGGGAGAGGTGGGGAGGCAGTGGGGAGCCCCAACCAAACCAGCCCTGGGCTGCGGAGAGCCAGTTGTCATAGAGTTGGGAGACCAGGTCCTGCCCCTTCCCCTGGCCCTCTCTGGGGCCTTGGGCCAGTCCCATCCTGCTGTGGATTGCAGGCTCACTGTTCCCAAAGAGGAGGCATATTTTTTGGGCACCTAAATCCATCTGGCTGCAGAGCCCATGTCCCCTCCAGCTGGACTTCCCAGGCCTTCCACAGCAGCCACTCATGGCTGTAAATGAGCATCCCGGGATTGCCACGGGAACATGCCATGGGGCTCATGCCTGCTAACCACACCAGCACTCCTGGCTCCTTTCACAGATGAGGCTCCTTTGTGTCGCTGGGGGGGTTTCCTTCCAACTCTCATCTCTCCAGACCCCCTTGGTCCTAATAGTGTAGTTGCTGGGTCGCACCTCCCCGCATACACCGGCGTGGCTGTAGCAGCTCTGCAGCGAGTGTGTGCGCATGCCCGTCAGTGCCAAATGCCACTGCCTCACTAAGACCCAACGTACTAGTTGTACTTCCTGAATCTGCTAAATCCCCCTTTTTGAGTCTTGGGGCAGACAGAGGTTCTGGCTGCCTTTCACTTGAGTCATGGGTGCTCCTGAGGGGCAGGGTGGTGTGGTACAGAGAGACTCACTGCTCCTGTGTGTCCTCTGGCACACCCTCTGCTCTGGGGCCCCTCTCTCACCTTGCTCAGTTGAGGGTTGACCTGAAGGAGCTCCAGCCCCTTCCCTCCCATCATGCCAGGCCGTGACTCCACTGGGACAGCAGGCAGACCAGCTGGAAGCCTTCTCAGCAGAGCAGAGAGCTCCCAAGGAGCAGATGGGGGGAGGTGTTGGCAAGGCAGCAGCAACTGAGAGTTTACTCCACTTTGGATTGTAAAAGGGCCGAAATTTGAAATCCTATTCTGGGGTTATGTGAGGTGCTGTGGGCTCTTTCTGCTTCCTCCTTTCTTTTTGGTAGGCCAGCAACAAACTAAGTTCCTAGAAAAGGAGAAAAACACTGGCAGCCCAGAGGCCATAGCTAACGTGTGACTCACTCAGGCCAGTCCTACTGACGCACGTCCCTCCCTCTGTCCTGCTCTGCCCTTGCCCCTCCTGTCAGGACCAGACTGGGGCGTCTGGTACTCCAGGGAGCTGTGCACCTCCCACTTGGGTGGTAGTGGCAGGGCAGGGGAGTGTTGCCAAGCCTCAGGAGGCCTTGGAGCTGCCCGTGCCACATCCTGTGGAGACACTCCAGTGCGCCCACCACCCAGCTCTACAGAGCCTCAGCTGTGCCTGCCCTGGCAGAGGGCGGGAAAGTCCCACCAGTGGTGTTGAGTTGAGATTCAGCTACACTGGCACATGCCCTCCAGGGCCTGTTGTCACCATGGCCCACTCCCCTACTGCCTTCAAGACAAGGTCTTTCTCACTAGGTGTGCCAACCATCGAGGTGAGAGGACAACACCAGCTCCTGTTTGCCAGGCACTGGGCTACGTGCCCTCCAGGAGATTAACTTACCTTGCTGAGTCCTAGCCCAGTTCTGGAGTTTGGTGCTGTGATTTCACTGTTGTAAGATGAGGAAATGGAGGTTTAGCAAGAGATTTACAGAGCAAGGAAGTGGCAGAGCCAGGACTAGGAACCTGACTCCCAAACCCACCATACTGTTGCCTGAGCTGTCCTCCTCCCAGCGTCTTGAGCCTCAGAGACCCACAAGATGCCTTCGCAGTTTCCGCAGCCATCTCTGACCAGGGGAGAAACCCCGCAGTACCTCTGCTCTGTGGGAACCTTCTGGACAAGAGGCCTGAGCGGTCCCATATTCAGGGCAATGGTACCAGAGGATCAGAGCTAGAGCAGTCCTCTCCTTGACACGCACGTGGCCCTTCACAGCGACCCTTCACCTGTGATCTCAGGCTCTAGCCGTCCGCAGGCCACCAGTCAGATTCCTATGGCAGCTGACAGGGCAGGCCTGTGTGGGCGCTGGAGTCGGTGTTTCCATGGGGAATGCAGAGGACAGACTGGCCTTTGTTTTGCATCAAGCCCTTTGCCAGCAGAATTCCCCAAGATCACCAAGGGCTCTCGGAGCCTCCTGGACGCAGCTCCTGGGGAAATCCATCGGCAGCCACACATGCCCTGTGCCTCTGAGAGATGATTGTAGGGAGAGGCCGCCCAAGGCCCCATGGAGCTTTCCCTCCTGCTGTCCTCCAGCTTTTCCCCCGAGCTTCTCCACCCAGCCAGCCAACAAAGGAGCACGGCAGTTGGGTAGAGAGGCACCCTTCCTCACTGCCTTCCCAGTGGGCCAGGAAGCCTTTCCCAGGCCTTGTAGACAAGGCCTGCGCACCCTCCCAGCCCCTGGTGTGGTGTAAGGGTCCTCTCGGTCCACTTGCTTTTGTCCACATGGAAGTATTCTTGAAAGGATCAGAACCCAAAGCTGCCCCGACCCACGCCTTTCAGAGGGAGAGTCTGTGATGTTCTAGCCAGGGCAGAGTTGCAAGTACGAGGTAAGGGATGAGTCAGCTTTGATGGAACAGAAGGAAAAGTCATTCGGGGCCTAGGGCCCTGCCCAGGGACACAACTGGGCATAAAGCAGCTGTCAGTTGTGTGTGCAGCTCTGGGCCCCACAGACCTGGGCTTGGATCCAGCTCTCTGCTCACCAGCTGTGTGACCTTGGCCAAGTCCTTTCACTTCCCTGTGCCTTTGTTGTATCATCTGAAACAGGACCGTGAGAAAATCCCTCGCTGGCCACTGTCAGTTTCTTCCTCTGCATTGGTTGCGGGGCCAAGTGAGACAGTGAGCTGACATACTCGGTGCAGAGGTGGCTCGCGGCCGGCCCTTGGGTCACCTTCCAAGGTGGAGTCACTGACCTCTGCTGGACTTCTTTTTCTCATGTGTGAACGAGGAAATTGAAGTAAATCTCAGATCACTCCCAGTCTAGAGTATTACATGAGGCTGTTTTGGGAAATCTCTGGAAGTTGTTCTAAGCTCTAAGCTGTACCCTGAGATTTAGCCAGGGCAGCAGGTCCAGGGATGATGGCCCGTGCAACCCTCAGGTACCTGGGAGAGAAGGCAGTCCCTGCTGGGACAGTTCAGCTGGTGTCTAGAAAAGGCTAAGACCTGATTCCTCTGCTCCCTGGAGAGGTGGAGGGGGCAGCTGCTTCACTCTCTGACGAGACGCCCACCTCCTACTGTTCAGGATGGGAGTGGGCCCAGCAAGGTATGCCCTGCCCACATGTCCTGTGCCTGTTGCTGTAGAGGCTTGTTCACTCTCTGTTTCCCACTCCCAGGACACATCGGATAACCATCACCAACTTCTGCCTCGGGAAGCATCTGGTGAGCGAGGGGGACCTGCTAAAGGACCAGAGGGGGAGCCCTGCCTACATCAGTCCCGACGTGCTCAGCGGTACGTGTGTGTGCCAAACAGTGGGCCTCCAAGCTCCATACGGCCAGGCTCTGACAGTCCACTCAGCAAATCTGTGGGCAGGCCCTGGGCTAGGTGCTGGGGCTTCCCTGGGGACCCAGACCAGTCCTGTCCCTCCCCGTATAAAATGTTTGGTCTGTTGGAGGAGGAAGACATGAAGATAACAGGAATGCATGTTTTATTACTGTGAGATGAGTACTAGGAAGGAATGGAATTGCTATGAGAGTGAATGAAGGGCGCTTGGAGGACTTTCCCCAGGAGGTGACAGTTGGGCTGGGATCTTAAGGGAAACTAGGAATTCCCTGGGTGTGTGTGACTGGGCTGAGGCCAAGGGTCTGAGAGGTAACACAGCACCACATTGGAGCAATTGCAAGCTGCTCAGAAAGTTGGCCTGGTTCACAGGGAGGCCAGAGAGGTGTGCAGGGCCAGACCAGGCAAGGTCTGCTATAGACCTCGCTAAGAGCCGTCGTTCTTTAACTCGCAAAGTTACTGCCCACTGATCTGATTTCCAAGTTCCAGACATTGTGCTGAGCGTGACTCGCCTCATTTGTTTAAACCACACAGCTACCCTGTGAGGTCAGTATCTTAAGTTCCTTTTTCATAGATGAAATTGAGGCTCAGAGAGATGACATCTCTTGTCCAAAGTCATAGCTATTAAATAATAAACCGGAAAATGGAGGGCAGTCCCAGGGCCACCTGCCACTAGAGCCCATGCTCCCAACTCTTTCACCATACACTGTTGCTTTCCCTTTCCCCCTTGTCCTTTGCCAAGTTGGGGTCTCCCGAGCCCCAGTCCCTTATGGAATCGGGGCCTACATCTCCCATCCCTCCAACATGGAGAACTTGGGGTGGTCTCCAGGGTCGCTCATCCCCACCCCACACACAAGGGAACCCTTTCCGTGTACTGGCAGAGCCACCCTCACCCAGGGCATCACACATGTCCTGGTGAGCAGGCTGCTGTAAGACAGCACTTGCAACTCCCTCAGAGGCTCCCCTAGCTACTGCCTCTGCTGCAGAGCCAGGCCTGTCCCCAGGGCTGCCCGTGTGCAGAAGACAGTAGCACCACTCCCCAGACCTGGGGTTTTTGGTTGAAGTCACCACAGCCTCTGCTAGAAGGATCTGGCTGCCAGGGGTATACCCTAACTCCCTGGGCACCACCTGCATGGCCCAGTGCAGCCTGGCACCCTCCACACCTTTGGGGAAAGCATCCCTACAGGAGATGGAGCCAGGCTCCTCCCTCTGCCCAGCCCGTGATGGGGCTGTGCCTGTCTGCAGGGCTGGGACTGGGGGCTGGCCCTGACTGGGACTCCTTTCTCGCAGCACCAGGCTACAATGCCTCCATGTGCAGTCCGAGGCTCTGTGGCCCTCCCTGCTGGTGCCAGCAGCTTCTCCTTCTGGGTTTTCCAGACTTGTGCCAGTCTTGGAAGATGAAACAAAGGGAACTGACTGAATCAGAGACAGTCCTCAGCTGGGAGACCTGGGTTCTCATTCGGGCCTTGCTGTTTAACCAGCTGTGTGGTCATGGCCTCCAGTCTCCTTCTGATTTCAGCCTCCTCCCTCCTGGGTTAGAAGCTGAAGTCCCAGCCCTGCCATGTGGGTTTCAGGCTCAGGTCTGCCCTTTCATTTATTCTCCATGTGCCCAGCATAGGCATGGGCCATGGAACTGTGAAAAGGCAGACCTGGTCTGGCCCTCAAGGAGATGATAGTCTGGCTAATAACCGTGTGACTTTGGGGGGAGTTACAGACCTCTCTGGACCTCTGTTTTCTCATCTATAAAATAGGGATGGCAGTAGAACCTACTTCAGTGAGTCCCTGAGGGATTAAATAATGCCCTTCACCTAATGTCTGGCATGATCATTACTGAAAGGGAAGCTCCATATGCAGTATCCCCTCAGAAGCCAAAGCTCAGGGAAGGTCGCCTGCCCAGCTCGGGCTCCCTGTGAGCTTGTCTGTGAAGGGGCCGTTCATCCCCCAGGTCAGGGCAGAAGCTCAGGCTGAGGGAACCCCACACGAGTCCTGGAAGCAGATCCCTCCCGCCTAAGCCAGCAGGACAGCTCAGCTCAGCAGGAAGCATCTTCCAGACACAGAAGAACCAGAGCCTTTGTTTTGTTTTGTTTTGAGGTGGTGTCTTGCAGTGTCGCCCATGCTGGAGTGCAGTGGTACAATCTTGGCTGACCACAATCTCTGCCTCATGGGTTCAAGCGATTCTCCTGCTTCCGCCTAAGTTGCTGGGATTACAGGTACATGCCACCACACCTGGCCAATTTTTATATTTTTAGTAGAGACAGGGTTTCACCATGTTGGCCAGGCTGGTCTTGAACTCTTGGCCTCATGATCTGCCCATCTCGGCCTCCCAAAGTGCTAGGATTGCAGATGTGAGCCACTGCACCCAGCCACCTCTTTTGGAGCCATACAGAGCTAGAATGGTGGCACAAGTAATAGATTCTGTACTGGCGACCCCATGGTGGAGCAAGGTCTAGGGAAAGGGGGCTGTCTTTGAGTCAGCCATGGGGACAGCCACACAGTCACCCCAGCTGTTCTTTGGCACCAGGGGCTGGAAAGAGCTTGGAAGAAGCTCATCTTCCACAGAACTACTTGCTGTACCAACCAGGGCAGATGCTTATTCCCCACAACAGCCCCTGTGGTAGGCGGCGGTGCCATCCTGAAGGTGCCATGGTACCTTCCAAAGACATAGGCTGAGGCCTGTAATGGCACTGCCATGCATACACGCACGCCCTCTCCCATTAAAGCTGCTTGCCCTTCACTGGGCCCTGGGCGCCCAGGGAGATGACGCTAGGGTGCCTGGCAGCATCTATTCCACGCCCACGGAGAACCGAGTTGTGTTCTGGGAACCAGGATGCCACAGCCTGCTACCATACCAGAGGGTGCATCGCAGGGGGTGGGCAGGGCCAAGGGCTTTTAAATGCTCCAGTGGTCCTCATATTTTGCATTTGGGGAAGTGGGTCAGGCAATGGCTGGCGCATGGGAGGGGCTGTATTGCTGCTGGGTGGGTGGGCAGGTAGTCTTGAAAGCAGACGAGCAGCAGGGCCTGCATGGCCAGATGTGGGCCCACTGACCAGCCATGTGGCCCTGGACAATGCAGATCGCTGGGCTGCAGTATCCTTGAGCTGTGGAGCAGTTAGTGAACTAAAAGCTTTTTTTTTTTTTTAAATAAAGACGGGGTTTCACCATGTTGGCCAGGATGGTCTCGATCTCTTGAACTCATGATCCGCCTGCCTTGGCCTCCTAAAGTTCTGTGATTATAGGCATGAGCCAGAACTAAAAGTGTTTCTTCCAGTACTGTCCTTAAGCAGGTGCTCAGTTAGATGTCTGTTCCATTCCACTTTACAGACGAGGAAACTGTCACACAGAGAGGGTAATTAAGTGGACATTCCTTCATTTAGCAAATACTTGAGTCTGTGCTGGGCACTGGGGCTCAGCAGTGAACACAGGAGGAGGCACCTGCACCTGAGAACTTCCTTCTAGCAGGGAGATGGGAGTCACAAATAGACAAAGGAGGGGACCCTGCAAGTGATCGTCTGGGCTGTGAAGGAGGCAGAGGGGTATGCGGATGGTGATGGGCAGAGTGCCTGGCTCGTCTGAAGGGAGCTAGTTATCTGCTGTGCCACCAACATCCTTGAACCCCCGGTTGTGAGCTCTGTGCTGGGTGCTGGGGCTGCAGACCCAGGCCTGGCTCCCAGGGCCTCGGTGTTTGGCTGGGCAGGGCAGGTGCTGTGAGCAGGTGCTGACTGAGCCCTCTCCTCGGGGGTCAGGAGAGGCACATCCTGAGGGACAGGGGAGGCGGGGAGCACAGGCAGGAGCTCCCACCAGAAATGGGGATGACAGGTGGAGGGTCCCGGGTGGGATTCCAGGCATGGGGCTGGTGGGCCCAGGTGGTGCTGCAGCCCAAAGGCTGAGTGTGGTGTG